GTTCAAAAGAAAAATGCTGTGTGCTGCAGAAATGGAGAGAAAGTGCCCAAGGGTGAGAGGCAGACTTACATACTGTAGTTGTTGAAAGGAGAAAAGAGAAACACAAAAGATGGCAAATAGAAAATGGAAAGTTCCAGCAGGAAAAGTAAGAAGGTAAACAAAGCTGAATAATAGTTGTTTTTTTTTTGTTTTGTTTTTTATGAAAGTCAGTTTAAAAGAATGGAAATACACTTCTTGGCTTTCTTGCCGAGAGTTATATCAGAAGACTGATACCATGTTTCTACCTTAGCTACCAACAGCAGTCTGTTAGCTTAGCGTAGCTTAAACACTGCAAATACGGAAACAGCTAGCCTGGCTCTGTCCAAACATTACCAGAAAATCTGTCTACTGGCATCTCTAAATCTCACCAATTAATACAATTTATCATTTCTTGAAGCAACAAGTTTTTCAAGGGGATTGTGCAAGCTCGCTGTTTGCCCCTGTTTCCAGTCTTTACGCCAAGCTAGCTTTGGCGTTCTTTATCAACATACAAACATAGGAGTGAAAAACTTCTCATCCAACTTGACGGAAAATAAAACAAATACACATGTATATCAAGATCTGTTCCTTTAATATAATACAACATATAAAATATCACATGCATCAAGATGGAGGTGACACCCCACTCCACTCAGTTATGCTCCATCACGTCTTCATGTGTGGAAATTCTAAGGGATGAATGTGAGAAAAGGTCCTTGTTGGCACACACTTGTTTGATGCACATGAATTATGCATGACATGGATTTCACAAGAGCATTCACCATTCACATTTTCACTTGGGCTTAATTCTTTGGTGCAGAACCAATTACTCCCTGGACCATAGTTTACATTGCACAGCATGTATGTGCAGCAAAGGTCCAAAACAAAAAACTAAAAGAATAATTTGACAGTACTGCTGCGATACTTAAGTGATAAAACCAATCATCACCAATTTATGTTCATGAACTTTAAACTGAAGCTCAGGAAAGCAGGTACTGTTTCTGCATAGTTAGTGCTGCAGGAGCAGAGTTTGTGTGTTTGCAGGTGTTCGTGTGTGCCAAGTTGCATGCAGTTCCAGCCGGTCTCAGGACTTATGGTCGAGGATTCAGTGAGGTATAATGAATGTCACAGGTGCACAGCTTCAACATACGGTTTGTGAGAGTGCAGTATGTTTGTGAGCACGTGTATACTGTGCGTCGTGGTGTTGTGTGGGTGTTACAAACAGTGCGAGTGATACAGCAGGATGACTCATACAGCTACTGAATGAGACAACGCTCAGTAATCCCCTCTGTCCATCCCTCCATCCCAGCATTCGTCTGTGCGGGGAGGGCAAGCCTAGAGAGAGGGAGGAGGAGTGGATCGGCATTCCTGGAAGGCATCTCTGAATGATAAACTGAAACTGCAGCTACTTTGGATGTACATTCATTCAGTGAAAAATGCCTTAATTTTGCTGTTGCTAAAATATTGGTACAATGTGATCTAAATGTTAAAAAAAGGGTGACGTGACCACCAACAGACGCTGGTTACAGTTAGTTCACACCGGTAATGGTCATGCCTTAATTTATGAGTTTAGTATTACTGTCAGATAACATTGTTGACATTGTTGTTTTTGTTAATCAAGTCCACGGTGTAAGATGTAGTGGCATCTAGTGGTGTAGTTGCAGATTGCAGCTCGCTTCACCCTCCCTTTCCAAGCGCTAAGAAGAAACAACGTGAAAAACACCAGTGCCAGTGCTTGGTTTGTCCATTCTGGGCTACTGTAGAAACATGGCGGTTTAACAGAACAAAAACACAATTCTTATTTTCAGGTACATTACAACATAGTTATGCATATAATATTACATTCCTGCCAATAGATCTCTTTAAATCAACAGTCTAAGGGCCCCTCCTTTTTTTTTTTTTTTGCGCTTACAGTAATGGACACATTTACTATTTCTACAGGATCCGTAAATCAACAGGACTAAAGCTGTACAAAAATACGTATAATATACAAATACTGTATTATCAGGCTTTGCTATGTTAATTATGGCGAGCTTGTTTAGCAAACAGTAGCTTATTACATACATCCAGCCAGATACTGAGCAACATT